TCCCTCCAGTCCAGATAACAATGATAAATGTGTTTACATGCTATGTAAGTTATAAGTTTTGCAGGAAAGATTGGAATATATAAAACATTTATTTTCTAACCGAGTAAAAGTCTTATTTTGTCCGTTAATTTGTAGACTTCTCCCGTTTGGTTCACACGGTATCTTCTATAATAATTGTAAGATGTATTTATGAAACGTTACCAGTAAGTAGAATCAACCATAACGCACCACCTCTTACCAAACTGAAGTATTTATGCGATCCCTTGTATTCTGTTGTGTAAAATTCCTTCGTCTGTTCATTGTTCTTCGGTTAACGTGGACTTTATAACGCATAAAAGCGATCTGTGCCCATTACTCGTTTGTTGCTTGGCAACTGTTCATGCATAAAATGATTACAGCGTATTTTACGCGACGGAAAATAATTTTAAAAGAGTGTAATATCACATCCTTTCGCATTTCTATAAACGGGATTTCATTATTAAACTAATGATTTTGAATATTTTAGTAGGACTTATTCTGAGAAAATTTCCCGCTATGAAGGGAGATTTCGCTAGTAGGACATATACATATTCATTGGTCGGCATTGGTCGGCCTGCACTCTTTCGGTTGGTTGACATTAAAAACTTTGTAATTTATCTATCCCATATGATAGAAGAAGGCCATTAATACTAGGGATTAAATGTGAGACCACCGTGATTTATGTACAATACTCTCTGAACTACAATTAATCTTCACATTTAGTTTAATAATGTTTGCCGACCGATTCGACCGTTCTATAAACTAATCGGTTAAATTACGCAGAACGTATAGAAATATTTAAGTAGTACCAATATTTATATTTGGTAGTATGACACCTCAGTTCAGAAATTAAATTCCAGGTGTGTATTTTCCTCACGAAGTGTTTGGTTTTGTTATTTAGCAGAGGTGATATCTGGATAGAAGTTTTGCAATGAAACGGCAGAAATATTGATCCAACATACACACAGGCCCACAATATGCAATACCACACAACATCCAAGCTACTACCACGAAAATAAAAACGAGGTAAGGCAGTTCCTATACGCAAGTCGTGACTTAACGCCAGCATAGTCGGGAAATCTATATTGCTTCAAGACACACGGATTACCTGCACGTAAAATGACATTATTATAACTGAAGTACAAATAAGGAGTATGTAATACAGATGAACTATTCATGAATGGCGTAATTGTAAAGCGATACACGCAGGGTCAACACCAAAACAAAACCTGCCAAGTTTTACTGCTATAATATTAAAATTAATAATCTGTAACTACCGTATGAGGAGATTTTAAACAACTTTCTAATACTGCAGTATTATATGAGTAACCTTCTTATCTATGTAATGATATTTATTATTAGAAAATGTGTTAAGAAATATATTAAGATACGTGTTTAAAATTATGTACAAATATTTCCAACAAAGATTTGTTTTAAGTAAACAGAATATTCCTAGTCATTGCTTTCGAAAACTAAATTCTTGCTCTATTAAACCCTTAACTACTTCTGTTTTATTGACTACGTAATTGATTTTTGTGTTCTTTGTTCTTCTTATTCTTCAGCTGTCACATATTAAGCACATTATAATCTGTACTCTTCCGACTCCAATGTTTGTTCTCATGGTTTGAAAAAGACTACATTTAAGGCCTCATTCGCGCTCAATCAGTGATGTTATATGTTATTCGGGTATTTTTGCAACGTTTCACCGCCATATTGTGGTGTAATCTGTATGTAGCAATCTAGAGAATGCAGATTGGAAACTTTTTGTTATTTGATAATTTCCATTCATAACATTTATTTCGATGATACAAGAGACAAAACTTTTCTGGTTAGATTTTGATTTGTTTTTAATGGACTGTGTAGGCAGTCATCAATTTTTATGTCACGCTTCAATTATTATCATGCGCCTAGTGCACATTCTTCTGTCTTTCCACCTCTAATGGAAGAAACATATACGAGTATATTATTATAGCCGTGCAGAAATGAAGGTTTCCACTGCCCACACCGGAATTAAGCTACAGTCATTGTAGCGGACACGAAATTGCGTGCTTCTAGGTAAGAGCAAAATCGTACATCGTACGTCGCAACACGAACAGCGGAGTGAAGACAGCTCAGAATTCGCACTTTAGCGAATCGGGTAGTACGAAACATTCTCTTCCAAAATTTTTTATAGTACTTGGATGTACTAAGCGACTTAAAAATAAGTTATTAAATTTCATTACAACGCTTCTGTGACGTGAAGAGACGTTTCAAAGCACCTGACTGAAATAGCAATACTAAGAGCCAAAATATGTAGACCGGGTTCGCCATCTTGCCGCACCAATGAAAACTCTTGCGGGTCTGAGTGAGATAGACGGAGTTGGTCAATGCTTTCTCCTTACGGTTTCTTATAATTGGGATTGGTTTAAAAATGTGGGAAAATGCTTACGAAATATAAGCCCCGTTAATAATCCTTTTATCGTATAAAGTGGCGTTTTAAACGCTTTCTGGTGTCTGTTTTCGGTACAACTATCTTCCTTGCTTTAACTCACGAAGGTTGCCGTCTCTCGATGTTGACAATCAACATTACAAACATCACGAAACATTGAAATATTTAATTTCGGTTTTCGACCAATTTCTCCTCCCAAATTAATTTTTAGCTAATTATATAAGCTTACCTAAGCACTTAACTCAAATACTGGGAGCAGTTTTAAAATATAAGATATTTTTTTAACCGGGAAAATATGCCTGTGTGAGGTCCACTACTGGTACCGGAAGTTGCTATGAGTTTCATGTTAGTTAAGTGTCTATAGATACGAGCAAACTACAGAAGTTTGCGCATTAGCTTCGTTTACAGTTCTCTTGACTGTCTCGGCTGAAGTCTTGACCACGCCACGTTATTTTTTTTTTCTCAGGTTTAAGTTATGGAGAACAGATTAAGTCGTGTAGTTGAGTCCATTATGTGAGTTTTGTGAACGTTCTGTTTTTGTTTTAAGACTTCGTTTTATTCACATAGTATATATTACATGTTTTATTCAAGTGGTTCGCTGTTTCGGGTCACATGTGTTTTCAATGGCTAGTATAATCGTCATCAAGTTCTAGGAACTGACGTCATCCACGCATCAAACTGTTCGCTGTTATCCTTAGCTAATGAAACCTCGCTTCAAAATTGTAGTGAGCGCGGATGGGGGTGTGAGTGTGCTGGTAAGGGCTTTGTGGGTCATTCCTCCACATCATGTGTCAGGCAGGTTCAAATACGGAACACATATTGGGGCAATCCCGCATGTAGGCCGTGCTCATCTTCTGAAGCGGCTACCTGTCGAGAATATCAATTCTAATTAAGGTTCAGTAGCATATCGTTCCAGAAACCACCAGCTTTTTCTTTATCCTGTTTTCCTGTCACCGTGTAACTCAGGGGTCGTCAACCTTTTTACCTACCGCCCACTTTTGTATCTTTGTTGATGGTAAAATTTCCTTACCGACCACCGGTGCCGCACGTACTGCCCACCACCATGAAAGAGGTACAGCTCGAAGACTAAGTGATGGCCGCTGATAAGCTCCCGCCCTCGTTATGCGCACTAAACTCCTGCCTTTGGCTACGGAGCCCATTCGTTGCTCCCTCGTCCACGAGTATACTTCGAAAAGTGTTCGGTGAATTATTATATTCAAAGTTTAGAGATGGAATTCAAAAGTAAATTGCAAAAGCATATTTTAAAAAGTCAAACTCGCGAAGTTGTTGGAGGAAGAACAAAATTTGTAACAACGGACAAAAATCCCCACCGCCCACCATGAAATCTTGAATCGCCCACTAGTGAGCGGTAGGGACCAGGTTGACGACCCCTGGTGTAACTGGAAGGTCCGTTACTGCCAAGGGATATTTCACCGAGCCAGTTGGATCCAGTGTATCTTACCGTTTTAATGTTATCTATAATCTGTGTTTTAGTCGTTAAGGTTCTATGATTCCCGCACAGGTAGTAATTTGTAGCGTGTACCTCATACGAGCGAGAATGTAAAATGTTGGAATGTCTCTAGAAAGTTCTACAGAGACACGCACAGTTAATGAGTTATGTAGATGTTCGCTCTTGTATCGAAAGTATGACAAATCATCGTTTCTGAAGGTTACTGAAGAGTGTAATACAATCTGGATTGGTGGGTTTTTGGAACTTGTCCGTCGTCTGATGTTATAAAACGAGGTATAGTGAGGGCGGCGGGGTCCTTTAAAATGAGCTAATCCAAATCACTTAAAAATGACTGACATGAGACGAGGAGGGCAGATCCTGACCTCGTAACGTTGTATGTTTGTAACATCAGACGATGGATAAGTTCAAGAACCCAACAAACCAGATGATAATTTAAATAATTTTTTTTTGGATGTTATCCATCGTTTAATAAATAATAAAATTGAACGACGTTTCGGAGATGGGGCTCTATCTCCGTCTTCAGGTACCTACTCTGTTGGGCCCAATCGATAGAACAAATACCTATCTCCGGTCCGGTCTGCTCTTAGACTATCATGACTGACGTTTGTCGTAGTTTTTCTCAGTACCTCCAGGAAAATATCCTTAAATTCATCCACTTCCATAACGTGATTTACTATTACCTTACCATCCCATTCTATATATTTTCATCTACTGACAGCTTTGTTAGATAAGCCATAAACAAATTATATGATTAATAATTTATGTTAATCCTCTTTTGGGGTGCTGACACCTAGTGAGAGTGGTGTGTAATAACTTGTTTAAACTATCATGGCGCTTCATTATTAATGCTCATTAATATTAATACATCACCACCGTCAAAGACTGAAGTCTTTAATAAACTCTAAAGCTTTTTATAATCCACGATTTTTAGCGCTCTGTGCCGTGAAGGCAGACAAGTGGGACAGTGGAAGGCTCTAGAAAGAGGCGGCGATTGGACGGACAACTTCACACGTTCAGACTACATTACCTTCGGTGCGGAACGTATTGAATATAATGCTCTTTGGAGGAACTAAATTTAAGAATACTTTTAACGTCCTTCTCAATCTTAAGTTTCTTCTACAAGTGTGTTATTATTATTATTATTATTATCATTATTATTATTGTTATCGCATCTATTCACCACTTTATGGGGTGTGTACTTCCATGTACCCGAGACAGACCTCGTCCCTAAGGTACATAGGGCAGCAGCTATTTCCGGGATACATATTGTTTTTAGCAAATGCCACATGTATTATATAATTACATTTCATGAAATTATTATTATTATTATTATATTTTGTATGGACATTACTGTTTTCTGTTCGAAATTGCACCAATATGGGAATTTAAGAAAAAAGTATTTAGTTCTTTAAATTTTCATATTGGTGTACGCCCAATTTCATATAACATATTAGCAAATCAGAGCTAGAGTGGTGCAAGTTAAGAACACAGCAATGTTAAGTCGTATCGCCATTCCGTGCAATACAGTCTTTTGAGAGGAAAAATGGTTTAAGTTATAAAAAATTACTTCGACCTATACTTTTTCATCTTTTGGGACAAAGAAAGCTTAATAATACTAATGGCTGATGGTTCGTATTGTTTCATAACAAACTTTGTAATTTGTTTCGACTATTAAACAACGAAGTTAGATCTGCAAGAGCCTTTATGAAGAATTCGTTGCAGTGAAAATACAACTTAAAAGTTGAATTTCTTGGTCGTGATATTTATGGCCTATTATTTCAACAGCTATGATGAGCGCTTTTTGAGTCCAAACAAAATAAATTAAAACTAATTTCGTACCATTTCGAATTCACTTTTTTTTATAGGTGATGAAAGTCGGATAGAGAACTTCACTGAGAATGCATGTGGAATCAAAGACGCAAAAGACGTTTTCCTTCACTCTAATCTCTGATAGGATGCGCGGGGGTTTTGGAGAATAATTGCTAGGGTGTATATGCACAGAGAGTGATAAGACATTTATACCAATCATTATTAGTCGGAAAACCTGATTAGAAGAGACAACTTGAAGATATCTAGGTGTAGATGGGAAGATCACATTAAAATGTATGTTAAAGTAATGTGGTTTGACAATGCGGACTGGATTCATCTGGCTCAGAATAGGGTACAGTGATTGCTTTTTGTGAACAGAATAATGATACTTCCCGTTCCATAAAAGACCGAGAAAACCTTGTCCAGCAAAGTGAGGATTGAGGTTTCTGCTCCAGTGAGTTCACTATGGGTGCAGGTACTGTTATAAACTT